TTGATAGCGCTGAAAATAGCTTCATGGTACAGGGATGAGTCTCACTGATGGACGACTTGACTGATTCACTGATGAACGAACACTCAGAGATCGGGATTGGTATCCTTAAACCGGTTTCGTTGTTAATCAAATATGTCAGTCAAGACCCACAACATCATTAATCCCTGACAATAGGAGTAACCCACACTGGAGAATATCTCACCAGTGTTCCAGCATCACAATAATAAAGTGAACGAAATGGGTTTGTTTTAGGTTAGGTTAAGCTTGGATAGGCTCGGTTGGGTAAGCTTAGGTTAGGTTAAGCATGGATGGCTCGGTTGGGTAAGCTTAGGTTAGGTTAAGCTTGGATAGGCTCGGTTGGGTAAGCTTAGGTTAGGTTAAGCTTGGCTAGGCTCGGTTGGGTAAGCTTAGGTTAGGTTAAGCTTGGATGGCTCGGTTGGGTAAGCTTAGGTTAGGTTAAGCTTGGATAGGCTCGGTTGGGTAAGCTTAGGTTAGGTTAAGCTTGGATGGCTCGGTTGGGTAAGCTTAGGTTAGGTTAAGCTTGGATGGCTCGGTTGGGTAAGCTTAGGTTAGGTTGGATTGGGTAAACTCAACTCTAGTTTGAACCACTTGTAACAATTTAGATCCTCGTCTATGGACAATATCAACAACAGTTCCCGACTTCCCTCTTGGGCGCCACACAGGACAGGAGGAAATACTGTATAGGACGTTGTTGTAAGGTCATTTTATGGACATAGATATAGCTTACGTCAACCCATACACTCAGCAGATCTCGACTCCGGATGATAATACTCGAAATAGCTGTCAGATAATATTGTTGATAACAGTTTGTATACAAATCGAGTAATAACTCCACTTTCTTTCACTTAAGGATACTCTTGTAGTTGTCTCGATAATATTTCCATAGTGGGGCATATAGATCACATTATTATTATTATTATTAGTAGTAGTAGTAGTAGTAGTAGTAGTAGTAGTAGTAATTGTAGTAGTAGTAGTAGTAGTAGTAATTGTAGTAGAAGTAAGTATATAAATGGAAAGTGAGTGGAGGAACTCAAAAAGCAGGGAGGGGTCGACATCGGTCACCTCTGCACCAGTGAGTCAGCGGCTCCAACACTCACGAAGTTGCTAGTCTAATGAGGTCCTTCACTCACTAACATTATTTTCTCTCTCCAGATATTTACCCTGCCAGCAACTACTGGGTATTGTGTTGTTTTCGGTCCTGTCTGCCTGTGTCTGTCAGTGTCGTCTAAACTCGAGAACGGGTTTGCGGATTTGCACTAAACTTGGTAGGGATGATCACTAGCTAACATGGTCCACTTGATAAGCTTTTGGTATAAATCACGACAAAATTGACCGAGTGTTTCCATGGTAACTTGAGTTTTCTTTGGTTAAAGAAAACGATTGATTTTTTTGGTGTTTGTGAAATAAAGATATGAAACAGTCTCCAGTGGTGACTATATTAATTTACAGTAACAGCGGCTCCAAAATTCTGTGTTCCCGTATGTGAGATTGGTCAAAGGACAAGCTCACGACCAAGTATAAACAAGGGTGATTCAGAATTGGCCAGAACTAAGTGTAGTCATACGCCCTCGACATCGCTTCCGAGGAATGGTGGGGGGCTCTCTAGAGTCTAGTTAGTCAGGGAAGGCGTTCGTAAGGTTGACAAAATGCTTCCCAGAAGATCTCATTTTGTTAGTTTTCTACAGCTCTCCATGGTAACGACGTATGCAATGATAGTAATTTTAAATAACTTCCTCGCGCATAATGGTGGGAAAAATTTTCAGTCAGTCAGGAAAGGCGGACATTAGGCTGAATGACGCAGCCAAGAATGACAAGTGGATCACAGTTTATGCACCTCGGCTTCCTGACTGAAAATTGCCAATACGAAGATTGAGGCAAAAACAAACTTTTCACTTAAATCGAGTATCCTTTGTCAGCGACCAGAGTAAACTTGTTTCTTGATCTTATATTCAGAGACAATACGTATACATGAACGATTTATGATGAGAATGGCAGGTTTTATGACTACAAGTGAGAATCTTTTACGGCCTCTTGAAGAAAATTTTATTTTGGTATCTTTGTCATCCATTATGCCCGCCATGGTAACCTTCTAGTTCCTACTCCATCGTACATCTTGGGTCCGACTACCATGAAAGTTTACCAGTGACTTGAAAGCTCACCGCCAGCACACATTGTTGTCCTGCCAATATATACCGGTTGAGTCAGTTGTTGCCGGGACTCAGGCTCTTCTTATATGATAATGTATATGTTTCAGTGATGTGCAGTTGTTTCTATTGGTTTATGATTTATAGCCCTGTATGCCCTAATGGTGAATTATTCGTTATTGTGTATTTGGCTGTGAAATGTTCGTTATATTGTTCAATTTATTTTGTTATTATGTACGTTACTTTGTTAGTGTTATAATTAAGCTAATAATTGTTAGTGTAATTTGTGATGGCCTATTTCTTAGTGAGGTATTAATTTTGTGTGATGTTTACAGGAGGCGCCATGGTCGGGTGGACGGCGCGGTGGGAGCCGGGCGTGGGGAGGGACCAGCACCAGCACCAGCAGCGCCTCGCCGTGACCGACCACGTCGTCGCCCCCGACCCGCCCATTATCCCACTCTCCGCGCCCTCACCACCCCGCCACGCCCCTAGTCACGCCCACAACCACGCGGACATTGCCTCTCCTCAGGCGGACCCCCGAAACAGTGAAGGCAACGAGGTGCACGGACTTACAGCAGGGGCCGCCAGTGACCCTGACATTGCCCCTGTAGAGGGCAGCAGTGAGGGTGGCGCCAGGTGTGTGGAAGGTGAGCAGGGCCACAGCAGCAGGCATCACCCCACCCCTTCGTCGTCGTCTCGTGTACCTGATGATCACACTGGTCGCCCCGGTTTACCTGTAGCCAGCGTAGAGGTGGGCTCGGCGCCCCCGCCATACGATCTTTCCTTCCTGTGTCACGCACCTGCAAACCTGCCCACGCCGCCCACACCATCCGCGGCAGTTAACGGTACCTCGCGGGCGCCGTGTGTGTCGGCCGGGGACGGCGACCACAGTAGGTGGGGGGCGTCGCAGGACACAGCGCCGCTCACCACCAACGGAGAGGTGGGTCGTAGGAGGGTCAACGGCGTCGTAGTGAAGATGGCCGCTGTGGACGAGGCCGTCACAGAAGAAGGGGAGGAGGAGGAGGAGGAGGAGGAAGAAGAAGAAGAAGAAGAAGAAGAAGAGGGGGAGGAAGGGGAATTTCTGTGTGGACTTGGTCGATGGTGCTCCCCAAGTTGGGTTCAAGGCTTAGCCACCAAACAAGTGTTCCTCATTGTGTTTTCTTTAACGTCGGTGCTTCAGGGGATGTTCTACACGTACTTTGTGAGTGTGCTCACTACTGTTGAGAAGTTGTTTCAGTTAAAGAGTAAGACAACCGGAATAATCATGAGTGCCACAGAGATGGGGCAGATAGGTGGCGCTCTCTTGCTGGCTTACTACGGCGGCCAGGGACATAGACCAAAGTGGATAGGTTGGGGGATGATTCTCTTCGCCTTCTGCGCCTTTCTCTGTGCCCTTCCACATTTCTTATTTGGCCAGGAGCTGTTGAGACAGCACCTGGAAACAACACCGTCAGAGGACAGTCCTCTGGCCAACGCCAACATCTGCAGGTTACCAGGGACACCCATCCCCTCGATGGGCCTCAACAACTCGCTGCCGGGACTCCCCGAATTCAAGAAATGTGAGACTCCTGAAGGTGAGACCCAGGTGGTGCTCTCCATCTTCTTCCTCTCCTTGCTGGGTATAGGCATCGGCCAGACGGCAGCCTACAACCTAGGCATCCCCTACATCGACGACAACATCGCCAACCGCGAGACACCCATCTATTTCGGTGAGTCTTTTCTTCTTCGTACTTAATGGTTCTCAAGACTTATGTTTATATATTGTATTCCATTACCAGGCAAATCCAATGTAACGGCGCACTAAGATGAACAAGACACAAAAGTAGACCCGAGTAGTTTCTTACCGGGCCTGGTGGTTCTCATTCACTCCACTTAAAATACAGGAGAGTGATATACCTCTTAGACTCTTATCTTATTATCAGCAGAGTTATCATTTTCGCAGATTGAAAACTAAACCATAATACCTTATGGGGAGTGAACTAAATAAAACCTGGTTATGGCTGGTGACTGAGGGTGGGGCAGGTGAAGGTGTGAGTCCGTTTCAGTAGGGGTTGGGGTGAGGGTGAGAGCAAGGTATGGGAGGGGGTTAAAGAAAGCTGCTTAATGTGAATGGACGTGAGAGAGAGGGTGAATGGGGTTAGTGAGACAGGGTGTTAGCGGAAGAACAGGAGTTACAGGTATACCAGGGCCCCAACAACTAGTCAGGAATCTCCATGATGTTTTGCTCTGCAGTCATAGGCTCATCAAGCATCGGGTCTTCCAAAACTGGATCTATAGGAGAAGCTCACTGATTTATGTACGCACCATGCACTCACACTCTTCTCACGTCCCAATGGAATGAATCTTGTCTAGAAAATGTAGAAAATTTGGAAAAAATCGTAAGGCAGCAAAATTTTTTGGGTATCCTTGAAACTCACCTGAAATTAATTTATTTAGTGTGTACGATAGGTTAAGTGAGAGGTGGACAGTGTAGGAAGTGTAACATTTTGCGTCACGTGAGGGATCTGGTGATTAGTGTTGTTGTTGTTGTGGCGCAGGTGTCAACACGGCCTTGTCACACTCGACCTTGCCCCTCGACAGCTGTTACCCCCCCTTACCATTCACACCTGCCCCCCCTCCTTCCTACCACACCTGCCCCCCTCCTTCCTACCACACCTGCCCCCCCTCCTTCCCTACCACCTGCCCCCCTCCTTCCTACCACCTGCCCCCCCCCTTCCTACCCCTCCTACACCTGCCCCCCCTCCTTACCACACCTGCCCCCCCCTCCTTCCCTACCACACCTACCCCTCCTCCCTACCACACCTACCCCCTCCTCCCTACCACAGCTGCCCTTTACGTTTCCCTCCCACACTTGTACACAGTAACCTCCAAACACACACTTGTGCTTGCGTAGAAACATATTTGAATGTTCGTTAGGAAAACACACTCGCTCCTACTCTCACTGTCCTCTTTATTCAAGTTGACACACACACACACACACACACACACACACACACACACACACACACACACACCCCATCAGTGTTGTATGATAGTCATTTAAAGACTTACCCAAACAAACATAACCTTGCATAGGAGTATGATAACAGACCTTGAGTGTTGTTATGCATATATATTCACATCCTCCCAATTAATCTCCATTTTTGTTCCAACTCAATACGAGCTTCCAACCAGTGATTGAATTACAATACCATTCACTTTGTTGCTAGTGTTTGTTTATTTAGTCTTCATTTTTATTGTTTTGTTCATGTTTTTGTTATTATCGTGGGAACAATGTGTGTGTGTGTGTGTGTGTGTGTGTGTGTGTGTGTGTGTGTGTGTGTGTGTGTGTGTGTGTGTGTGTGTGTGTGTGTGTGTGTGTGTGTGTGTGTGTTGAGGTTACCTTATCTGCCAGTTTTTAATTATTTTTCTCGCCATTTTGAGGCCGTGACGTGCATATTGTCCTCCCAGCTACAGGCCCGGCGGGAGGGGCGTACCACCGTCAGAATTGTTGTCTCCTTGCATCACATATCCGTCTCTCTTTAATTCATACATATAATTTTACATTACTCTTCTTTTATATTTTTTTTATATTTCTTCTGAATTCCTGATCAATATTTTTAATCCAAACCAGTTTAAAAGTGGACCATGGACAGGTGTCAGGACAGGTTCTTGTAATACATAGTGTGTTTCCTGGACACACCTGTTTGGGCTGTACAAATTAGATCTCGTCTTAAGCTTATATAATATTCTCATATTGATTCACACAGTTTTTACTCCATTGTGTACATATGATACCTGTTAACCAGTGGCGTAGCTTGGGTGAGGAGGGGGGGTCAGCTTGGACGACTGCTACCCCTGATCGGAAAGAAAAAATCTGGTTGAATCGTAAATCCAGAACAAAATTATCACATTACTGTATACAAATTGGATCAATGATTTAACTGACAAAGAAATCACCAAAACAGTGGAAGAATTGCTGTGATTTCTACATGGAAGGCATTTGTTCCATGCCATTCCCAAAGAAATCATACTTAGACGGGTTTTCCTGGCTATTCCCTTTGCGAGTGCTGGTGCTGACAGGCCGTTTAATGATTAGTCGGATAAAACTAATCAAACCTCACCTCCGATCAACCATATTAGAAGAACGTTTTTCAGACTTGGTTATTCTGAGCACTGAACGGGAATATAAACAAATCTCTGAATTATGATAGAGCAACAGTGAAGGAAGAGGGCTGGCGAGAGGAACATGGTATCACTCTTTCCTGAACGATTTTAGATCATGTGAATTAAAAAAGAAAGTATTTAAAGTTGTTGAAAGCAGGATCGATGGTGTGGGACAGGGGAGGCAGCCATGACCTGCACAGTAGGACAAATCCTGACACCCTTAATATGTGTCCGATGTTAAAGTAATATATTTTAAGGTGATGGAATAGTGGACTAGAGGGCTGAGAACAAGCGGAGTCGCAGATAATAAAGTAGTTGGCGGATAACTCAATAGGTGACGGATAGCTGACTAGTTGGCGGATAACTCAATAGGTGGCAAATAGCAGACTAGTTGAAAAGGAAGAATGTGGCGGGGCGTCGGAGTAGAGGTAAACATCAGTACTCGGGCAATGAACACCGAGAAACACGACCTTCAGGTGTGTGTGTGTGTACCTGCCCTTGCATCACCTGTGTGCTGCAGGTGTTGGTGAGCCTTGAGCCACATATGCGTCGGACACCTACACCTAAACACACACACACACACACACACACACACACACACACACACACACGTCTGGCAATATTATCTGGCCTTCTGTGAAAATTGACTCAGCTTCCTGGTGTTGTGGGGGATCTGAAATGAGGGAGGGGATGGGGGGAGACACACTTCCGTAAAAGTCAGTCTGATTTCCTAGAAGTATGGGGTGAACACTGTACACAGGAAGGTCTCATGCTAACGGAGTGTGTCATCAGGACTACCCTGGCGACAGCACAGTACACTAAAAACAGCCAAAGTAAAAATAGATTAATAGGTGATTAAGAAACAGCTGCTAAAATGTAATTAATTCAATTTTGTTTCACTCATTCTGTGAATAATAATTACTGCTGTAATAAGATATAAAAAATATTATAAACTATAATATGGAGATTAATCGATAACAATTATATTTATAAAATAAATTTCTTACTCAAAATACATGAATAAATTATCACCAAACGAATAAGTTGTAAATAGTAAATAAATTAAATACGATAAAAAAAGGATTCTGTCCATTAAGTTTCAACTGATAAATTTTCAACTACCTACTATTACCAGGTGTTCCGGTACTTGATCCGGCTAATCATTATTTTTCGTGCGCCGAATTTTAACTCTCTTGTCTTGTGGAAATCGCTTTTGTTCCGTGTGAGAAGATATAAATAAATTTACTCTTTTAATGGGTTGAATTTATTTATTTATTTTTTTTTTTAAGGGGTTGAATTTTAAGGGCAGACGCAACAGAGAGATACGACGCTACATGTATAATGAAACGCTACATTTAGCACACTAGTGAAAACACGTGTGATGATTATGCTGCAAGATTGTAACAATTATGTGAAGTTGGGCAGTATGTTAATATCTGACGTTGGGCAGTATGTTAATATCTGACGTTGGGCAGTATGTTAATATCTGACGTTGGGTAGTATGTTAATATCTGACGTTGGGCAGTATGTTAATATCTGACGTTGGGTAGTATGTTAATATCTGACGTTGGGTAGTATGTTAATATCTGACGTTGGGTAGTATGTTAATATCTGACGTTGGGTAGTATGTTAATATCTGACGTTGGGTAGTATGTTAATATCTGACGTTGGGTAGTATGTTAATATCTGACGTTGGGCAGTATGTTAATATCTGACGTTGGGTAGTATGTTAATATCTGACGTTGGTTATGTTAATATCTGACGTTGGGCAGTATGTTAATATCTGACGTTGGGTAGTATGTTAATATCTGACGTTGGGCAGTATGTTAATATCTGACGTTGGGTAGTATGTTAATATCTATAGTTAGTTTATCTTTCAGTGTGATGACATTAAAATAAGCAGCGTCAATCTCTTCATTATTTTACTATTCATAAACATTCTCTACGTCACTATCACCATCAAGTGCTTTACCATCGCCTCACCATCATCCTCACCATTAACTGTAGTCATTGTGTCCGGTGTTACCATCTTTATCACCATGTATACAGTACTTTCCGTCACCATCATTATCATAGCAATTAATATCTACGACTGTCACCACCACTGTCAACATTACCGACATATTTACATCACCTTTACAACATCACCACCACCACTGTATCACCACCAATAACACCACAACTACAACATCACCACCACCACGTCACCACCACCAGGCAGTGTCAAGATCCACCATAATTAGCGTCAAGGATGCCGCTCTCTGTCTATTAACGCGTAATTGGGATGTATGACGTAATTGGCAATTGGGTGATGTCGTTCACCCCCTTCACCGCGACTGCTCGTATTTCCCAGCTCGAGATTGTGGTGGTAGTGGTGGCAGGTCGCAATACGGCTCGTTCGCAAAACTCGAGTACCCGGTTAACAGGTTCGAACCCTCCGCTTGTGAGAAAGTAAATTATGCGGGTAGATATATACAATATATAGAGTATCGTAGTATTTTGTAGAAGAGTATTGTAGGCACCACAGTTGTATACTTAGTTGAATGTCGCTCTGTCGCAGTGT